CGGCTAATCAAAATGGTACTTACTTGCGCTTATCCGGATTGTTCAAACCAACTTAAAACTAAAATATTACATTCTCTCACGCAAACTCATTCGGGAGTGGTAACTCGCCACGTTTTCCCAACTTCTGAGCCTGCTCGCCTGAAGTTATGGTTGATTGCTCTTCGGCTGGATATCAACACACTGTGACGAGTTGGCTGCCTCCCCCTAATTATCAGCATCACCCCGTCCCTTAATCGCCGCCCTTCGCCAGGCTCCCGACATGAGTGGGTGCGTGAGAGAGGAGGGGCGCTGAAATAGCCAGGGCTGGCAGCGTGTGATGGGGCACACCGGAACCGAATGGAGTCTCATCACCGCCGCTGTTTAAATGCCGAGCGCGCCTCTCCTCGGTGCACGCTTGTGTCCTCGTGGGTCCAGGAGGGGTGCATAGAGGGACTCCCATGCCGCCAGAGTCGTGAGCTGCCGGACCCACAGTCCGGACAAGAACCGCACCCGTTACACAGCCGTCGGGCTAGGATGGGCTAGGATGCCGGGCCATCTAGTCCCTTCAAGCGCCGTGGGCAGAGAGAAGGACGAAGCCGCTGATAGAAGCCGCCGCCCCCCGCTCCCCGGACCGGAGAGGGGAGCGCATGCGGCCGCCGGAGTGTGTCTGTCGTTTGCTCCTTCCGCGACAACACCCATTAACGTAAACTACGCCAGAGCGCGCGCCCAAAGACAATTGGACATAGGGGTGTATTAGAGGTAAAAAATTATATAAATACTGTTCGGTTTCTGGCACAAACCGATCGTTTCGTGCCTTAGGACATCAATGTGTCGTCATGAGCCGCAGGGTTTAATTTGGATTTGTCTGTGCATGTTTTTTTACACTCCTAGATTTTGTTACCATTGCGATGCATTATACGACTGACAGACTGCAACGGTTAAAGTTAAAAATCATCATGTGTTCTACTGAAGAAACAAAGTCACCTACATCTTGGATCCCCTGGGGGTAAGCAGAAAAACACCACATTTTCATTTTTTGGGTGAACTATCCCTTTAAGTGTGCAAAAGAGCATTCGTACAAACTTTGGCGCACATATATACAGTACCAGTGTTCACAATAATCCAAGAATGTTTATAAAAATGTAAAGAAGTAAAGGTAAAAATATACAATCACAATATTTGTTAATATTAATATATTCTAATATATATATTCTTTGTGAAAAGTATGTCACAGGTATTAATAATTTTCGTGTTCATGTTGATGAATGTTGTACTTCTTCTGAACCATAAAGGGATATTTGAGGCCGTTCTGTAGGTTGATGTGGAGTGTTACAAGCTCTTGGTGCATAAAGAAGATCTGTAAAGTTGCAAAGACTAAAGTCTCAAATCCAAAGAGATATTCTTTATAAAAGATATTCTTTATAAAAGACTTGTCCACGCCCTCCTAAAATGCCTTGTTTAAACACGCGCCCACATTTCTACATCACTGTGTGGGAAGATTTGCATAACACCGCCCAAATGTTCATGCAAAGAAAGAAGGTGTAACTTTTATTCTCGTTGTAGTATTGTTGTTGCCGCCGCCGCCATGTTGTGGAGATGCTGTGTGTTTCGTTGTGAAAGCAAAACTACTTTGTTTGGCCTTCCAAAAAGAAAAAATTGACGCGTTTCAGAAAGGCGGGGCATAGAGGAGCAACAATAATGTACATTATGTGAAAAATAATGTGTTTTTCAAACCTTAAACCGCATAAACACATTGCATTACACCAAATACACAACATAAAGTTCTTTTTAGCAATGTCATATGACCCCTTTAACAACATCAGCATTGCCTATAGTGTGTATTAGCGTGTAGATTTCAATTTCTGTACAGTCTACTCTCTAATTGTCATACCATTCGAATTTCATATTAAGAAATTCTTTTAACCCAAAAAGCAAATTATGCTCCCTTCGAACTGTTTGTCTTAAAAATACAAATCTTGTATCCGCCATCAAAATGATACATTTAATTATTCCAGCTGCTGTGAGAAAAGGCTATAAACAATCGGCCACCTGCAGAATCCTCACATGTGATAGCCTAGTAGCCGGGACAACTTCTGCCGAGCATGCTGCCGCGTCATTACGTCACGTCTGTAAACATAATCACAGACGTGACGTAATGACGCGGCAGCATGCTCGAATTTCCAGCGAAAACCTACCCGTACCACTCACATTAGAAAACATTATTATAAGCTAACCTCTGTGAATCGGGCTAAAGTTAGGCGATAGTTTTAAACACTGGCTGGTTATGTATTTCCTCATATTGATTTTGGATAATTTTTAACCAAAAAAAGTTACGGACTGCAGCTTTAATAATTGAATAGTTTATTTAATAGTTTTAGTTTTAGTTAAAGGGGACATCAGATGCCCAGTTTCCAAAAGTTGGTGACTTAATGAAAAGTCTATAACATACTTTGGTTAACATTTCTCAATGGTAGTGTAAAACAACACTCTTTTTACCCTGTCAAAATTAGCTCTGTTTACAGTGACCGGTTTCGGTGCATGTCCCTTTAAATGCTAATGAGCTCTGCTAATCCCGCCCTTCTCTTCTGTGGGGTGACTAGCCATACTGTTTACTTTAGCTGTGGAACTTGCTAACTAGCACATTTTTAGGAAAAGCGATTTGCAAAGATTTATAAAGATTGTAGCGAATCAGCTCATGGGGAAATATGAATAATTAATCATAACTAGTTATAATTAATTATAAATATTTAGATCCGCTGTAGATATTTACTTGACCTCTCAGGGTCAACTGTCTGTCAATTCTAAGAACGTTAATTTCCTGGTTAAGGGAAATAACTTTCATACTGTACAACTCTACACAGAGCTTGTAGCATAAATCGGCATGATTAGGGACTCCAGTTATGAGCAAACAATGAACAACGTCAAGTTTGATACAAGTAAGACTTTATTAACTACATAAACACTTAAACTAGTCTAACATACTACATAAACACACACACAAACACGCACACAGTTGGTATAGGAAAGGGTTAAAGCTTAAAGAAAAGAAAATAAGAAAATAAGAATATGAAGTTATGGAAGCATTTGCATATTCAGCAGATCTACCATCTGAAGGAAACATCAGATTCTTAGTTCAAACACACCTTTGTAAAAAGGTGCAAATGATACCTAATGTATCAATTAATAAGACTAAGTTTGATACTTGCACGTCTCGTCTATCTGAAAGAAAGGCTTAATGCAGTCCAAATGTTCAAGTTGATCTGTGCTGAAGTTGGTTGATGAAAAAGAACCAGTTTGAGTCAGAGAATCTTGGTGAATGGAAAAGTCAAGGCCGAAGCCTGGCACGAACTTAGCGGGTTGCAGAAGCGTTCTAGCTCATGTCTTCATCTTAGACTCTAACCAAACCACTGACTCTGGGCGGGTTACTGGTGTGAGGCCTTTAAGGTCTGAGAAGATTCACGCCTCTCAAGATGGGCTTGTCCAATGAGAAAGGCCGGAATCCCAAGTGGGAGTTTGGAGATACTGGGGAGTTTTTATGACCCTTTGTGTGGAAGCATGGTACTTTGCATATGGAACTTGAATCGAAATTACTAAAGATTCTCAGGACACTAATATATTGCCTATGTACCCACATATAATATACACGCTCGTTTAGATCA